ATACTCCAGTGATCCTTGACCACTCTCTCTCTCACACCCACATCCAACTCATCAGCAAACCTCATCGGCTCTACCTTCAAGATACATTCGGGATCCAACCACTTCCCACCACCTTCCCTGTTACCCTGGGACCAAGTCACGCCATCCCTCGCTTGAATAATGGGAAGAACCTCAGTGCACCGTCTAATGTCATACACATTTTACTCATTTAACTTCACCTATGGTCTGTCTCCCCCAGAATATAAATGTCATCAGAGTAGGAACCATGGTCTCTTTTGTTCATAGTTGTATCCTCACCACCTAAATGAGTGCCGAACGCATAAAAGACGATTAACAAACATTTGTCAAATTAACAAATGAAGTTTTGCAAAGAGCCTCAGAACAGGCTGAAGCTTGCTGTGCTGAGCTGAAAGAAGAGGGATTTTCAGAAATGAGTCCATGCTCCCAGGTCATTGCTCTGAGCTCTTTTTCAAGTTCCCTCCTCTCTGGCTCCCCAGGAATGCTTGCCTGGGGTGGCTTCTGCTATCTGTGGAGTCTGGGCACAAGGGCCTTCCCTCACCTGGGGGGGGGTGGTATTGTGTGGTGAGACGGGTGAACCTGCGTGGAAGTTCTAACTCTACCACTTACTAGCAGTGAGACCTGCGACCATGATTCTCTTACCTGCCAAATGAGGATACAAGTCATAGTTGTTAGCATTTTAGTGTACACCAAGTGCCAGGAGCTGTGCTAATCTTCTTACATATAACTCATGTCTTTCCCACATCAACACAGTGGGACAGGTACTACTGTTACAGCTGCCAACTTACACATGAGGCAGCTGAGTCACAGAGAGGTTAAAAGATTTGATAAGGATCACAGGTGGTTAGAGGCAGAGCCCGCACATAGTCAGTCCTCAGAAACACTGACATCATTGCAATAGGGGTTCAGGTACAAGGAGTCTTTGGAGGGGAGGACGGGGCTGCTGGGGAGCTCTGGAGGGTCTCCTGTTGGCAGCTGAGCCCTGCTCCACCCGGGGCCCCTAGCTGAAGCTCCCCTTCCCCATCTCCCAGAGAGGCCATGGGCACACTGACCTCCTGGATTGACAGCCCTGAATGAGGAGGGTGTGGAGCCAGGAGGTGGGGACCAGGCTCAGGCAAGCTAATCAGGTCGCAGGGTGAAATTAAAAGGGAGGAGGAGGCACCAACCCGTCAGAACTCACACTTCTTCCTGGTGAAGAAGTGCCCAGGACGGGAGCTGGGGAGCCGGAGCTGTTTTAGGAGGCTGGGAGCCAGGTGACAGGATGGCCCCAAAGAGAGCTGTGCAGCTGTCCCTGAAGATGCCTACCCACGCCGTGTGTGTAGTGGGAGTCTCGGCACATGTGGACGTTCACAGGTAAGAGCTGGGAGGCACTCACCTGGCTGCAGAGAGCTGATTTAGAATGGAGGTCATGGGGTGGGTGCCTGATAGACAAGTCAGGCACATTGAAGAGGATGCTGGCAGGAGATAGCAGAGAAGGTGGAGTTGGCTATGGAGCCTGGGAGGAAGGAACTAGGGTCTGGTCAGGTCCTCCTTGGGGCCCCAGCTTCTGGGCACTGGGCTCAGGACATTGGCCTCAAGCCCCTGGATAAGAGTCCGGCCTTAGAATTCTAACTCTAAGCTCTGGGGTCAGGCTTTGGGATCTGGGCCCTGAATTCTGACACCTAGGTAGAACTTGTGTGGAACATCAGATGGCTCAAGACGGGGAAGAGAACTGGTCCCCCCATCCCTCAACTTCTTGCCAAGCCCCCATCTCTCTGAGGCGAAGGGACGTGTGTGGTAGCTTGATCCTTGGAGGTCAGCCAGGGGTAACTAGATTGATTCCAATCAGGAGGGGGTGGTTAGGAAATATTCGGTGAATTAATATGAGGAGAGAACCTGGAGCAAGAAGGCTGGGGATCATGTTTGCTGTGACATGATGGTGATGACAGTGATTATGGTGATGAACAGTGATGATGGCGATGATGTCGGTGATGGTGGCAATGATGACATCTGAGGAGGCAGCAGTAACATTTGCTTCTCCTGTTGACCCAAATCTTTCCTGTGCTGGCTGTGCCCAGACAGGGACTTGGAGACTAATTTCCCTACCTGACCACTAAGGGAATTGGATTTGGTGATCTCTGGCGGCACTTCCAACTCTGACAGGCTGTCTATGGATTCCATCCCTGCTGGGCCAGGTGGGGTTGAATCCCTTGCAGATAGGGGGCTCGTGGTGGGAGTCTCCCTCAAAGAGGAGCTAGGGGCTGGGGGTCTGTTACTGGATGGGATCTGAGCTCTTATCTCCCTCTTGGGACTCAGCCCCTGTGCCTGCTGGTCTGGCTAAGGTATGCAGGACCCAGCTGCCCACCTGGCCTCCAGTGATCCTCTGCCCGAGAAGCCCTTCCTGCTTCTCTGTTGGCCAGTGGTCTGTGACCCTAGTGGCAGGGCTAGGGAGGAGAACCGGGAGCCATGGAAACCAAACCTTGACTCTAAGTTGTTGCTGGGAGTCCTGGTGTGGGGGGCTGGGTCTCTCGGGTCTAGGTGGCTAGCAGAGACCCCATTGTCTCCTGCCCTGTTAACATAGGCTTGCCAGATTTAGCAAATAAAAATACAGGATGCCTAGTTGAGTCTGAATTTCAGATAAATAACAAAAAGCTTCTTTAGTATATTGCATGGGAGATATTTCTAGTTAAAAAATCTGCTGTTTAGCTGAAGCTGAAATCTTTTTATTTATTTATTTTTTTGAGATGGGGTCTCACTGTGTCGCCTAGGCTGGAGTGCAATGGCGCAACCTCAGCTCACTGCAACCTCCGCCTCCTGGGTTCAAGCAATTCCCTGCCTCAGCCTCCCAAGTAGCTGGGATTACAGGCACCCGCCATCACCCTGCTAATTTTTGTATTTTTAGTAGAGATGGGATTTCACCATGTTGGCCGGACTGGTCTCACACTCCTGACCTCAAGTGATCAACCCACCTCGGCCTCCCAATGTGCTGGGATTACCCGCGTGAGCCACCGTGCCTGGCCCCTGAAGCTGAAATCTAACTAGGCATCCCACATTGTATTTGGGAATCTACTTTCACACCAAGAGTAAAAAGGGTCCCTTGCAGGCCCCCTTCTTCTTATTTCAGGCTTCTGCTCTCATCTGAGGGCATGACTGT